TTCGAGTTGCAACCAGGTGATCCTCCCGGCGTCGGGCCACTTCCATCGCGTCATGCATGGTGTCGGGCCTCTCGAGTCGTACCTCAGCAGCCAGGTCGAATTTCAATCCGTCGATAAACGCGCCAACTAGTGCCTTTTCCGGCCAGTCGCGCACGCGGCAAGCCAATCGTTCGAACTCCCTAATGTATTCGCGTAGGCTGCTTGTTTGCCGTATGCGCGTAAGAGCCTCATTATAATTATGAAAATCGGACGTACCAAACCGCGTAAGCAACTCTCTCTCAAAAACATCCCAAGTAATAATTTGTTGGCGCTTGCGGTAGATCCTAGTGAGCCACTGCCACCATACGTTGGCCTCACCATCAAGATAATAAGCTGCGTACCTCACGCGATCGGGACCATCTGTTTCATTAAGCTCGAAATACTGCACCGCCCTGTTGAGCCATGCGTCCGGATCGCTGCCCGTGAACGTGGACAGCGTGATGCGTGGCTTGTCAATCCTCGGGCGTTCGTGGTATGTAGACGCCTGGGACTGCCGATCGAGGTCGTCCTCGCGCTCCCGCTCCTCGCGACGCCGATCCTCACCCTCGGCCCGCTCGCGCTCGCGTCGCCGCGCCTGATCGTGCTGCTGCGGTGGCGGCAGGCGATCGAGTACCGTGCACGCCATCTCATCAAATCGCCGGTTCATGGTTTCAATTAGATCTTGCACCGTGGATTTGGTATTGCCGAGTCCTGCACCCAACGTTTCGATAGCCTCGCTCATGCTGCGGAATTGGACATCGAGATTATCGATCTTGTCCTTCATCTCTTTGTTGTCCATGGCTTTTCTCTCTTCTCTACGTTCTTTGCTTTGTGGACTCGTGGTGGACTATGACGATGATGGTGATGAACGTAAATATATTTATATATATATATATATATATATTTTTTTTTTAAGGGGGGGGGGGGACGAAAAAATTTGAGGAGAAAAAGAAAGGGAATGGGGTAGAAGAAAAACACACGATCAACACCTCTCAATGAAAGCACCAATGCTGAGGAT